ACACTCACACACACACACACACACAAACACACACACACTCACACACACACACACACACTCACTCACTCACAAGACAGACGTAACACATGTTTCTATTACTTTTCAACGATCGAGCGAACAATGTCCATTTATTGCTAGTGTAATGGTCACACCTGCCTGCCAACACTGCGGCTGCATTAATGTATTGTAATATCGCTTCACTGGGCGAGTCGGCGAAAACACTTGAATGATACAATGTGTGTTGTATCGTGTGCTGAAATCAGGCGCTCGTCAAATTAATGGAATCGAAGAAGTCGGCATTTTCCCGCATTTTATCGATTTTTCTTTCTCCCTCAACTCGTTTTATGTTCATTTAGAAACATATTTCTGTGTGGATTTTACACAAGCAATTTGGTCTAAGGCACTAAAAAGTATAAATTTGTAGTTTCCAAGGACATCCAAGCTTTTGAAGTCACAGAAATTCAGCGGCCGTTTCTAGCTAATTTTACCTCTGACACCAGGTCTCCTCCATCTTTTTCAATTGCAATATTCAAGATAAATGGATATTTTTTTTCACCAAAATCGAGGCAAATGAATAGGCTTAAAGATTATATAAACAACTCCGTGAATGTCCCCAAAATAGACGAGCGCCTGATTTTACCGTGTCGTGGCACATATTATTTTATTGGAGAGCCGGCTGTTGCATGTCACCTTGTCCATCTCCGGGGATTGTATCGCAACTCGCGCAACGAGAGGACTGGTTTATTCGCCGACGTCGAGGAGTGAGCATGGCTTTGTAGATTTACCGCCGCACACTGTGAGCAAAATGAAATTCTAGGAATAGTGCACAACAAATATCCTGAGCCGTGAGTGTTGTGTTAATAATAATAATAATAATAATAATAATAATAATAATATGAACTATTGTCCTGTGTTTATATTACAATTTTGAAGTTTGGTAAAAAAACAACACAACAACAACTATATAATTAAAATTTAACTAACTGAGGATATGCATTCTGCCTGGTCATTTGACAAAGTTCGACGACGCGCTGTTCTGGGACACATTAAACAAAAAAGAAAAGGCTATATAATATCTTCTTTTGGGGGATTTTTTCAGTTCTGTCCAGCAGAATTTCTGCTACTGATTGGTGGTATATAT